AAGTGTTCTGTGTCTTCAAAAGTTCAAGGTGTATTTAGATGGTCCACAATCTTTTATACAAGTGTTAGGACATTTCTGCAGTGTGGTTACGATTGGAAATCCACTTTTTGGGAAGCATAGTAAAGACAGGTTCAATGGAGGGTTCAAACGAGTTGGATTATCATCTGATAAAGGAAGTAAATGCAGGGCCATGGGGAGAAGGCAAGGAATTGCTCTCAGTGAATTGAGCCTTTGGAGAGCCAGCACAAAATAGGCCAAGCTGATTGGTTACACCACAGAAGGATGCCTTTTGTTTTGAAAAAGAAACATTAGAGAATAGTTTTCAAAAAAGAAAGAATTTGCAGCTTGTGACATTACAATTAGCATTTAAAAACCTCTCCATCTCAATCAGCAAAAGGCGTTTGGGTATTCCCATTAACAAACATCAACCTGCACCCTAACCCATGTGAATATTTGACCTTGGATATACACAATGCATCAGCTCTCCAATGCCATTTCTTTTACTGAGTGGCAGAATGAACTGGTTTAAATAGAGAAATTGTGATTACTAATTTCAGTGTAATTTGATTACCTACCAGTTTTTTAGCAAAGTTAACAGCAGACCACAAAAAAGTTACCAGAAATTATGGAGTTATATAATTAATGATGCAGACCATTTACCCCATAACCTATACTTCCCTTTGCAATATTCAAGAGTCCCCATATATAAACAGTGCAAACTGCCCAGGAAATTCCAGCTCAAATTGGAGAGCAGTTTTAGGTGCCTGCACAGCTGTGAATTCATGGGCAAAAATACCTTTTACAACCTTTCTGTCTGTTAAAATCATTCCAAAATCACCAGTGTCAGTTAGAATGCTGCTTGTAGAACAACAATCTTCCAAAAAAGATTGAAATTTCAGTGTTTTAAATTAGAAAAATCATACACACTCATTAGGCCCACCATTATTACAATATAAATTTTGCAATCTGCTCATTCTATTCCAGGTAACCTATAGCCAGGATCTATTTTTGGAGAGGCCATCCAAGGCTCATGAGCCACATGCAATCCTTCTGCTTCTCAACACCACTCACGTACAGATCAAGTCCTTGGCACTATCACACCCAAACATGAATAATCCAGCCTCTTCAGTCAACGGAAGTGGCTAGCATGTTCAAATCAGAACATGAACTTTTAAGATTGGCCACTGCTCACTTATTTTACCTCAATGGACAAGCCATTAAATTAGGTCCAGTTTCAAGAATGCACACCTGACGCTGCTGCCCATTATAAAGTCAAAAGCGGTAATGTTAGTTGATGATTGCACTATGTCCAGCACCATTCACAACTCCACAAATACTGAAACAGTCCATGTCCAAATTCAGCCAGACCTTGATATTTTCCTAGTTTGGCCTGGCAAGTGCCATTTATGCCACACAAGTGCCAGGCATTTACCATCTCCAACGAGAGAATCTATTCATTGTACCTTGAAATTGAATATCACCATCATTGAATACCCGATGTTACTGTCCGGGTGGGGGCAGTGTTTATCATCGTTCAGGAACTGCTCCACTGTTGTATAAATGATTAGAAAACATATCTGTAAGAGTAGCAATCATACATCATATACCCAACATCTGAACTATAGACCACTAAAAGTGCTCACGTGGCACAGTGATAGTATCTTTTCTTCTGGGCCAGAAGGTCTGGTTCAAGTCCCACCTGCTCCAGTGGTGTAGAACAACAGCACTGAACAGGTTAATTAGAATGTATTTATGGTGTGCAAATTGACTGCAATGATTTAAGTCAGCAGCTCACTGCAACCTTCAAGGGCAATTAGGGACAGGCAATAAGAATTGAACTTTGTATTTACTTTGAAGGGACAGAGGAGTTGTTCTATTTAAAACCACTATTTAAATTAACTAAAGTGAATTGTTGAATTAAGTTATAGAGCAAATGCAGTGGCAGACATTTAAGGGCTTATTTCAAAATACACAGAACAGATACATTATAATTACAAAAAAATTCTAAGGGACCAACCTATTATCCATGGCTAACTGGAAATGTAAACAACAGCATCAAAACTTGAAAGAATAAAATATTTCTTTAAAAGTGGCACATCTCAAAAAGTCAAAGAATTAACAAAAACATAGCAGTATGAGAAAGCTGGTCAAAAAAACAAAAAACAGACAATAAAGTTCTTGTAGTCCTACTAGACGATAGGGCTGCTCTCTCAGACAGTGGTGGTGGCTTAACTCCAGGGTCATGTTTGCCTCAGGCAAGGGGAGAGGTTGACAAGGAAAGCCCTTCATCGTTACGTCCGTTCATGTGGGAATTAAACTCACACTATTCGTATTTCTCTGCCTTGCAAACCAGCCATTTAGCCAATTGAGCTAACCAACATTCCAATATGACATAATGGCATGAAATCCATCAAGACCCATGCGCTTGTTATCAGTTATCATGAGGATCTTTGAATACAAAAGCAGAGAGGTTATGCTTCAGTTATGTAGGGCACTGGTGAGACCTCATCTGGAGTACGGTGTACAGTATTGATCACCTTTAGGAAGAACAAGTGTACTGGAAGCAGTTCAGAGAAGGTTTACCAGTGTAATAACTAGAATAACAGGGCTGACTAATGATGAAAGGTAGGCTGGTGTCTGCTGGAGTTGAGAAGAGCAAGAGGAGATTTGATTGAGACACACAAGACCCAAGGATATATTTAAAAAAGATGCTGCAGATTGGAACAAGGTTCTGGAGAAACTCAGCAGGTCTTGCATCATTTGTAGAGAGAAAAAGTTAATATTCCTAGTCCAGTGCTGCCAGACCTTCCCGAAGTGTTCCTGCACTTTATCCTGAGGGGCCCTGACAGGGGATATGGAGAGAGAATGGGGACAAACTACAACTAAGGGGTCACTGTGTTAAACGAAACAAGTCACCCATTTAAAACAGATTGGCCTTTTATTTTCTGAGGGTCACGAGTCTTTGGGATCATGTTTTTGAAACAAACGTGATAGAAGCAGAGTACTGGAATATTTTAGACGGGTTCTTGCGAAGCAGAGGATAGAAATAACATCAGCCGAGGCAGGAATGCAGGTAAGGTTACAAACATAAAAACCAAAAGAACTGCGGATGATGTAAATCAGGAACAAAAACAAAGTTGCTGGACAGGCTCAGCAGGTCTGGCAGCATCTGTGAAGCAGAAAACAGAGTTAACGTTAACTCTGATTTTTTTCTTCGCAGATGCTGCCAGACCTGCTGAGCCTTTCCAGCAACTTTGTTTTGGTTCAAGGTTACAAACATGTCAGCCACAATCATATTGAATAATAGAGCAGGCTCCGGGGACAGATTGACCTATTCCTGTTCCTCATTCATATGTTTACATAGACCTGTACCCCCACCTCGCTGACATCTTCATTTCTTATTTATGTCACTTAAATGGTCTACTGGAATACAGCTTCTAAATCTGCCTGGACAAATGCTGGAGGAGGTTATTTCATCTTCAACTGCCCCTCCTGCTATTGGCCACCCAACAGATCAATCATCACAGAGACGCACCCTGGGTTGCCTTTACAATGCATCCCGGTTTTGGTTTTTGAAAAATCTAGTCCACTTACTCATTGACAAAAACGGACCAGTAGTTTGCAGAGAAAGCATTGACCAAAGTGATAAAGCTCCTCTCCTCCAATCAAATTCTAGGCATTGGCGTCACGTCACTTCCAGATGGGGCTGACATGTGAATGAAGGAAAATATAATCTTTCTATCCACATTTTTATAGCAGGGGGCAGGTCCTCGGCAGAGAGGTCAGTGAGCTCTCGGGGTTACTTACTGGTAACGATGCAGAGAGGCAGTAACAGTGACTGGAATAGTGTAGCGTGTGTAATGGTTACAATGTGACACTGAGTTGACTCACTATTAAACTGACCCAGTCCCGAACGCAACCATAACACTGGATTAGCACTCCTTATTCCCTTTGCGGGGGCCTCACTTTAAAGCAGTGACAACGGCTGCCGGTAGTGGTAGTGGAGTCAGGTACTTTAGAGACTTTTAAGCGACTCTGGGATAGACCCATGGAGGATAGTAAAATGTAGGGTATGCAGGGTAGATTGATCTTAGTAGGATAATAGGTCGGCACAACATTGTGGGCCGAAGGGCCTGTACTGTTCAATGTTCTACGTTCTAACATAGAATCGCTATAGTGTGGGAGCAGGCCATTCAGCCCATCGAGTCCACACCGACCTTCTGAAAAGCATCCCACCCAAATCCTGCCCCCCACCCTATCTCCTTAACCCTGCATTTCCCATGACTAATCCCCCCAATCTGCACACCCCTGGACACTACGGGGCAATTTAGCACGGCCAATCCACGCAACCTGCACATCCTCAGATGCTCCGGTTTTCTCCCACTGTCCAGAGAAATCATGACATGGAGAGAATGTGCAACACAGTAATCCGAGTGTAGAATCGAACCCGGGCCCCTGGCACTGTGAGGCCGCAGTGCTAACCATGGAAGGAAATCTCCTCGCAGCTCACACAGGAATCAGTGTACGTGAAATCTGAGCAACAATAAGGAGGAAATGCCAGTCCTATATGTAATCACATACACAGTAACGCAATCGCTTCATTTACCAAAAGAGCCTCTCCTCCCCATCGCAGCCCTAAACAGCAGAAAATTGGACAGCAGGGAAGGTTAATCTGCTTATTTTGTTCGAGATGGCTTAATTATATTTTCCTAAATATGTTACGTTAAAGCAGTTAATGTAAAATTTATTTTTAAAAGATAATATTCTGAAGGTACAATCCCCTCGAATTCATATGGAATAGGAGTTGGAATGGCGGGGAGACATCTCAATGCTGCTGGTCAGCTGACTTCAAATAGAAATTGACTATATGCGGTTTAAAGTGGTTATATTGTATTTGAAGCAAGCACATACGGAAGACCTATACAGTAATACATAATGCAGTAGCAACATAGCTTCCGAGATTCACACCCAGCAGAGGCAATTCCTAAGAATACACTCACTGTTCTGGCTCCGGTTATCTTTTCAAGGTAATCTTGGATAGCTTTCATTTCGGAATGGCCACTAATATCGTAGATCTGCAGCCGGTCTTCTTTGAAATCATAGGTTTCAAGTACATTCCGCGCTGATACACAATAAGGGCAGCTTTTTTTGATGAAAAGGACCACCTTCTCTGGATAGATTTTACTGTCCACATAATCCTGCGCCATTTCTTTTCTTCGTTAGACCGTCACCTCAATGACTCAGCAGTGAACACAAGCAACGCTCCTCTTTTGTAACAACTGGGAGGAGTTTGAAATTGACTAGCGAGAATCGAAACCATTTGGCTCAGCCGAGGTCTGAAGGCGGGAAAGGGAAACATTATTTGATTTTAAAGTTGTTTGATTTATTTGTTTTCCAGTCAATCGGAAGAAACACCAAAAATTGTTCCTCTCTGAAGAAAATCTGATCTTGAAATATTATGCTGATTGATGCTTCAGTGCATGGAAACGATTTGGGTGGGACCTAAGTTTAATTAGTTATGTTTAGTCAGTTTGCGAGCATTAACATGTCATGAAATAAATTGCGCCCCACTGTTATCAAAGTTGGAAATCTGAACTGACATATAGAAATAGAAGATGTGTGAAATACTCAGCAGGTCAGGCAATATTGTGGAAGGGAGCAGTAGACCACATCAATGAGATCTTGAGAACCAGAATAAAGTGTGATCGCATCATTTTCTGTGAGATAAAACAAAACTATGACAAATGTTCCCCCAAGCCTTCCCTTCTTGTTCCGGCTCAATGCATATATGCCACCCTGCGTGCTGATCTTCACTTAAGTCATAGAGCCGTAGAGATAAGTCATAGAGATAGACAGCACGGAAATAAACCCTTAGGTCCAACTTGTCCATGCCGACCAGATATCCTAAATTAATCTAGTCCCATCTGCCAGCATTTGGCCTATATCCCTTTAAACCCTTCCTATTCTATACCCATTCAGATTCCTTTTAAATGTTGTAATTGTACCAGCCTCCACACGCACCACCCTCTACATGAAAATGTTGCCCCTTAGGTCCCTTTTCTATCTTTCCTCTCTCACCTTAAACCTATGCCCTCTAGTTCTGGACTTCCCCACCCTGAGGAAGAAACCTTGCTTGTTTACCCTATCCATGCCTCTCATGATGTTATAAACTTCTATAAGGTCACACTTCAGCCTCCGTCATTCCAGGGAAAATAGCCCCAGCCTATTCAGCCTCTTCGTAAAGCTCAAACCCTCCAAACTCGGAAATATCCTTGCAAATCTTTCCTGAACCCTTTCTAGTTTCACAACATCTTTCCTTTCGGAGGGAGACCAGAATTGCACACAGTACTCCAAAAGTGGCTGAACTAATGTCTTGTACAGATGCAACATGACCTCCCAACTTCTATACTCAATGTACTGACCAATAAAGGCAAGCATACCAAGAGCCTTCTTCACTGTCCTGTTGACCTGCGATTCCACTTTCAAGGAACTATGAACCTGCAGGAACCCAGTATGTTGAATTCATGGCAGATATTTTCTTCACTGTGCGTTTCATGGCTGCCTTGCCCAGTATTTCCAGCTTTTTCTGTTCTTCTTTGCAGATTTCCAATGCATTTAGTACATTTTTTTTGTTTTTCTATTAAAATCCCTGGTTATATAGATGCTTTGTGAACTTTTACATACTAGGCATTCTCAGGGTATTTGCACACTCTCAAAAATCCCCAAGAAATTGATGGTGCTTTGAAATTGGGCATTATTTGTGGGTAGGCCTGGTAGCATCTGTGAAGAAAAATCAGAGTTAATGTTTCGGGTACTGATGGTAGCTAGAAAATTGTCCATTTATAGACCGAAGATAGGGTGAGGGGAGAGGGTAAGGAGTAAACGATAGTTGGGGAAAGAGCTGAAAGAGAGCGAAGAACAGTTGGACAGCAAACACCAGGAGTGACAGTGAATTTAATGTCGGTGGACGAGATAAAAGATTGGAATGGAAATTCCGTTGGAGAAAGGAGCAGAGCTTCTTTCCAACTGTTCTTCTCTCTATTTGGGCTCCATCCCAACCTGTCGTTTACTCCTTACCACCTCTCCTCACCCAATCTTCTGCATATTAACTGACATTTTCCTAACTGCTATCAGTTATGAGGAAGAGTCACCAGACACAAAAGATTAACTCTGATTTTTTTTTTCACAATTGATGCCAGACCTGCTGAGCTTTTCCAGCAACTTTTGTTTTTGTTCCTGATTTACAGCATGTGCAGTTCTTTCAGTTTTTATCATTTGTGGGTAGTCCTGGATGGCACAATGGCATAACTCAGTATCTGTGTAAGAGTCTATAACTAGTGTTCCCAAACTGGCACATGCACATTGTTCTGTGATTTTCAGGCTTTCCTACTTTAAATGTTACCCCAAAAGATATTCTTGCCAATGCTTAATGCAGATTGAGTATCTGGCACTGTGGTTTCGGCAGCTCCTTCTCAAGCAGCTCTACAGCACGTTGAGGAAAATCAAAAGTTTCAATATATAAGACATTCTCTATAACAGATTATGATTGCCAGCCCATGCCCTATTATAATTTTGTGGCATTAGCTGGTAAGTTGTCTAGTGACGACATGTCTAAGAAACAAATTGATTGAAAGATGGAGATTAAAGTACAAAGGCAGGATCATCCTTGTACTCTGTCAATGGACTCTATGGTTAGTTGGTCTCTATCCAGACTATACTCCTCCTGGCAGCTTAGGGACTTGGCTATAGGTGTGCTTCATGGGTTGGCAGGTTATTCCTTCAATTGTGGAGCATTTGTTTTTATCCAATCATGAAGTTGATTATCGGCTGAGTAACTTATACCATAGCTATCAACCATGACTCACTTGGTAGCACTCTTGCTTCTGAGTTACACCGTTGTGGGGTCAAGATCCATTTCATAACTTGGGCAGGAGAGCACACATGACATGCCAGTACAGTAACAGTAAGTACTACACTGTTAGAGATGCTGCCTTTGAAGGCACCCAATCTGCCCTCTCTTAGATGGATGTAAAGCATCCTGTGGCACATTTTTGAAGAACAGAAGAAATTATCTCCAGTGATTCTCTCAAAAAACATTACAAAACTAGATAATCTGGTTGTCATATTGCTTTTTGTGGGACCTTTCTGCGTACACATTGTCTACTAAATATTTAAAATTATAACAGTAACCTTCAATTTGGAAATTCTTTATTGGTAATCACAAAAGATAATTTATAAATGCAAGTCGTTTCTTTTTTTACAGCTACACAAGTGACTATCTGAAGACTCTTGTAGTGGTAGTGTCCCTTCCCTTCAGTAAGAAACCCAGGTTCAAGGCCCATTCTGCACCAGAAGTGTGTAGTAACATCCCTGAGCAGGTTGATTAGAAAATATCTAAAAGTGACCATTTGAAGACTCTTGTGGTTCAGCGTAGTGTCCCTGCCACTGGGTAAAGGTCTCAGTTCAAATCCCACCTGCATCAAACATGTGTCACATCATAGTTGAGCAGCTTGATTTTTAAAAAAAAATCTACAAATGACCACTGTATTTCTCAAGAGATTGCTGGATGGCCAGCATTTATTGCGCATCCCTAATTGCCCTTGAGAAGGTGATGGTGAGTTGTCCTCCTGAACTGCTGCAGTCTATGTGCTGTAGATAGATTGACAATGCCCTTAGGAAGGGAATTCCAGGATTTTGACCCATCAACAATGAAGGAGATGTGATATAGTTTCAAGTAAGGATGATGAGTGACTTGGAGAGGAACTTACAGGTGCCGGTGTTCCTATGCATCTGTTGCCTTTGTCCTTCCAGAATAAAGCGGTTGTGGATGTAAGGTGCTACCTCAGGATCTTTGGTGAATTTCTGCAGTGTACCTTGTAATGGTACGCACTGCAGCAACTGATTGTCAGTGGTGGAGGGAGTGGATATTTATGGGTGTGGTACCAAAAACAAATGGGCTGCTTTGTTATGGACGGTGTCGAGTTTCTTGATCATTGTTGGAGTTCCACTCATCCAAGCAAGTGGGAAGTCTTCCATCAAACTCCTACTTGTGCCTTGTAGATGGTGGACAGGCTTTGGGGAGTCAGGAGTTGAGTTACTTGCCGTAGGATTCCTACCTCTAACATGCTGTTGTAGCCACTGTGTTTATGTGGTGAGTCCAGTTGCATTTCTGGTCAATGATAACCCCAGGATGTTGATAGTAGGGGATTCAGTGATGGTAACACCATTGAATGTCAGGGGGCACTAGTTAGTTTGACTCTTATTGGAGAAGATCATTGCCTGGTGCGAATGTTATTTGCCACTTGTTAGTATATACCTGGATGTAGTCCAGATCTTGTTGCATTTGAACATGGACAGTTCCATGTCCGAATAGTTGCAAATGGCGCTGAACATTGTGCAATCACTGGTGAAGATCCCCAGTTCTGATCCTATGATGGAGGGAAGGTCATTGATGAAGCAGCTGAAGATGGTTAGGCCTAGGACACTACCCTGAGGAATTCCTGTAGAGATATCCTGGAGTTGAGGTGATAGATCTTCAATACCCACAACAATCTTCCTATCTGCTGCATCTGGCTCCAACCAATGGAGAGTTTGCACTCTGATACTAGCTGATACAGTATTTTAATATCATACTCCCACTCTCTTCCCTTACTATTGACACCTTTAGTTTCTAGAAATCTATCTTTCTTTCTTAGATAGAAATCATAACTTTGCCTCCTCAGGCCATTCCACAGGATAATCACATTCTGAGTGAAAGAAAATCTCCTTATCTAAGTTCAAAAGAGCTACCACATATTCTGAGACCATGACCTTTTGTTCTGAACTCCCCAGCCAGGAAAAACATCATCTGTGCATAGCTTGTTCAGCCCTGTCAGAATTTTATACATTTCCCTGATGACAAAGGTGGTAGAAATTAACATGAGAAAGAGAAGGTGTGCTTATGACAGATGTTAGAAAAAAAAATACAATTGTGAAGCAACAGGAATACCAAAGGTTTGCGGGGAAGGTTGAAAGAAAGCAAATAAGAGAAGCAATGAGGAACTGAGTTGATGGACTTTGGTCAGAAGAATATTGAAAGACAATATAAAATAATGGGTACAATTCTAAAGAGGAGCAGAGGGACCTGGGTTTATATGTACAGTTGGTTCTGCTATAACGTGATAGTTGCGTTTTTGCATTATAATTGTTGTCCTTTAAGAGCTGCAACTGCTTCTCAATTTCCCTCAGGATAGAAGGCAAAACAGAAGTGGAAACCTCTTGTGGTGCTGC